CTGTCTCTGATCACATGACGCTGTCTCTGATCACATGACGCTGTCTCAGATCACATGACTCTGTCTCTGATCACATGACTCTGTCTCTGATCACATGGCGCTGTCTCTGATCACATGACGCTGTCTCTGATCACATGACTCCGTCTCTGATCAGACGCTGTCTCTGATCACATGACTCTGTCTGATCACATGACTCATGTCTCTGATCACGTGACTCTGTCTCTGATCACGTGACACTGTCTCTGATCACGTGACGCTGTCTCTGATCACGTGACGCTGTCTCTGATCACGTGACTCTGTCTCTGATCACGTGACTCTGTCTCTGATCACGTGACTCTGTGTCTGATCACGTGACTCTGTGTCTGATCACGTGACACTGTCTCTGATCACGTGACGCTGTCTCTGATCACATGACGCTGTCTCTGATCACATGACGCTGTCTGTGATCACATGACTCTGTTCTTGATCCATGGACTGTGGAAGAGACAGTTGAGCTGCACGTGTTTGTACCGGCAGTCGAGCAGGGTGGGGAGGAAAAAAACAAAAGCGAGTGGCAGCTTAGAGCAGGGAGTGTGTGTGTGTGTGTGTGGGGGGGGGGGGGTCTGTACCTGCAGTTTAGAGCCGAATGGAGAAACAGCTGAGCTGTGCATTGTTTGTTTTTAGCATTTTAGCTAGCTACTATTGCGCGCAACTAATTAACGTTACAGCAGTACCGACAGGTGGAGGGGGGGTGCGCATTTCGGTGTGATCGTTGGGTGAGCTCGGTTCTGTTAAGGGGGCGGGGCGCCCTGACGTATTACGTTATGAAATTAGCATATCATGATATCATTTATTTGCCCAGGTAAGCTGGTTTTACCGGTATTATCGTGAACGATATGATATGGCCCAGCCCTAGCAGGGCATGAATGTTTAAACTGAGTGTGACACTAATCATCTACTAAACTCAAAGCACCTGCACAGGTTTCCCCAGGTGTCATTAAATTGCTTCAGTTTGGTTCAATTGTCTGTTTGGTTCAATATGGTGAAGACTGCAAACATAACTCTCCAGAAGACCATCATTGATGCCCTCCATGGAATGGGTAAGACACAAAAGTTCATAGTTAAGGAGACTGGCTGTTCACAGAGTGCTGTGTCCAAGCTTATCAATGGAATGATAATGGAAGGGCAAAATGTGGCAGGAGAAGATGCACCAGCAAAAGAGATGACTGTGGGCTTCAGTGGATTATCAAACAGAGAAGATTCAATAATCTGGCAGAGATCCAGAAATAGTGGAATGAGGTGGGAGTCACGGCTTCAAAAACCACCACATTCAGACGCATCCAGGAGATGGGCTACAACTGTTGGGTTCCTCGGTCCTCTTTTCAGATGAAAGTAAATTGTGCCTTTCATTCAGAAATCAAGGTCCAAGTGTTTGGAGGAAGAAGAGTGAGGAACAGAGCCCATACTGCTTGAGGTCCAGTGTGAAATATCCACAGTCAGTCATGGTCTGGGGTGCAGTGTCCGGTGCAGGTGTTGGTAAACTCTGCTTTCTTAAATCCAAGGTCACTACAACAGTCTACCAGAATGTTTTAGAGGACTTCATGATTCCTTCTGCTGAGGATCTGTATGGAGATGCAGATTTCATCTTCCAGCAGGACCTGGTCCCTGCCCATGATGCCAGAAGCACCAAAACCTGGTTTGATGCCACAGTGCATGACTGGCCAGCTAACTGGCCGGACCTAAACCCCAGTGAGAATCTATCGGTCTTCTCAAGAGGAACATGAGGAGCACCAGAGCAACAACAAAGAAGATCTGACAGCATCAAGGAAATCTGGGCTTCCATAACTCCAGTCAATGCCACAGGCTGATTGACTCAATTGAAGATTGATATATTGTTTTGAAAGTACCATATTTTGATTGATTTGTTGTGATCCTAATTTTTTTTTTTTTTTCTGCAAAAACTGAGAAGTGTGGGCTGATGTCTCCACAGTATTCTACTTTTTTGAAATCCTGTTTTTGTAGGTTTCATGAGCTGGAAGCCCAAATTATGTAAAAATAAACTAATAAATACTTAAAATCATTTAAATTTGTGGGCCCTGAATCTATCATCCATTACATTTTAACTTTTTGAATGGAATTATGGAAGTTAAACAACTTTTCCATGATATTCTAATTTGTTGGCAAGGGTCTGTAAATGTAAAAAAGTTTATTTTTGACAATTGGGTTGCCATGTCAAAATCTAAGATGGCTGCCGCCATATGTAAACGTGAAACGCTCCTGGAATGGGAAGCAAATCATTTTTATCTACAGAAACAGTCCCGTTGTCTTGTTTTTGTAAAGGTTACGACTGATTCAGAGTTAAATAACAGCTGAGACATACTGTTGATCTCTGCAGTACTTTTCTACAAACATGGTTCCTGTTTTTATACTTGAGTCAAAGGCAGCGGTCCTGTGGTAGTCTCTGTCCATAAACTGTCTCTGGACCCGCCCATAACTTCTGATCCGCTCGAGATATTTGAACAAAACATCATACACACGTGCATCGTCACTAGACGGAGTAAACCAGAACCGGCCAACCCTATCTGTGATCCGTCGCGCTGCGTCTCCTCGGACATAGAAAAACCTCCGTCTGTTCTCCTCCACCGTGTAACCACGTCTGTCACAGTCACAAATTTTACAGAGCGATTCATTTTCTCTGAAATTATTGCGATAAACGATATTGTTTGAAATTAGACAATGATTAGTAATTATTGTCCATAATTAGTAATTGTCAAATTTAAAACGAAATGTTTAATTTGTTTTGTGTGTAGTGCCTTTTTTCAACCACTGGATGGCAGTATAAGACTGTTTGAACAGAAGGATGGATAGTGAGGGAGCGAGCAGCGTGTCTCTTTAAGAAAAATGGGAGGGAGGCCCCTTGACGTGACATGGACTGTCTCTCTTTGGTTCTCAAAATGGCGGACGCTTGGTGGTTTGAGCTCTTTAGCATTTTTCACACAAAGCTTTTAATAAAAATCAGTAAATAAGTTCTCAGCTTCTTTTTGCAGAAAACAACTTTTTTAACGAAGGCACGAGTTTCAAACGTGAATTTTGGAGCTTCAACAAGACGGAGGATTTTTTCCCCCCCGAGGTTGGCCTGTTAGCTTAGCTCGTAGCTTAGCTCGTAGCTTAGTTCGTAGCTTAGTTCGTAGCTTAGCTCGTAGCTTAGCTGCTTTTAACGATCCAAAAACGCGAGTATGGACGGTTAAAGTGGATTTAAAGAGAAAGGGAGGGGTCAGTGAAGAACCAGAGTTGAGCCTTTTGTCATCCAGTGTCTTCAGTAGAAAGAGAGAGACACGAAGAAACGATAAAACAATAAATGAACATGAGGTTGATAATTTTCATTTATCAAGCGATTAATTGATTTAGTTTGTTGCGACAGGTCTGTGTGTAACTCCTGCTCACTTGACTGTCTCGCACTAAAAACATGAAGGTTTACTTCCTGTCCAGAAAACGGTCGCGTGGAAATATTCAGACCTTGAATATTTCAATGATGTGTCAGCGACGGGGCCAGCAGCGTACCGCTGGTTTAAATGAATGTTGTTTTGTTTCTTATTCCAGAGTTTACTGTCGCAAACATCGGGATGCGTCTCAAGATGACCTCCAAGGTAAAGTGTGTTTAGAGCGTGGAGGGTGTGGCCGGTGGATTCTGTGTTCGCAGCCGATTCCTGTCAACAGCAACTCGCCTCTTGAAATTCTGCTGCTGTGAAGTTCTGCGTCGACTCAAACTCTGCTCGAGTGTGATTATTGTTTCCTTGTCAGATGAGGAGGGCGGTGAGGCCAACGACTCCGACTCCTCCTCGCCTCCTCAAAGCAGAGGCAGGGGGAGGTTCGAGAAGGGCAGAGGCAAGTTTGGATCCCGCGGTCAGTCAGAAGAAACCCGCTCCACCTCCTCCTCACAAGCTGCAGACGAAGAGAGCTCCTCTCATGTAAGTATACTCTTTAAACCCGTTTGTCTTCAGATGGTTGTCAGAGGTTTACATACACTCATCGTGTCTTTTTAAAAGAATCTTTTCTGTGGTGGAATGACTAGAAACATTTTAAATGATTTAGGTGCACAAGATTGAACTTAATGTAGATTCTCTTTAATCCACACAGGATCAAAATCCTATATGATCAAATGTATACATACACCTCCAGTAATATTAAACGTTCCTCAACAAGCTGCACACCGTCTGCAGCAGTCGTCAAGCTTCTGTCGTAATCCAGTCTGGATAAGTGACCACCTCTTCTGGCAGAGATGGTGGGGTTCACTGCAACTGGATGGTTCCACACAGAGGTTGGAGGTCAGGGCTTTGTGAAGTTCAGTCATGTTGGCTTGTTTAAACCAGTCAGAAACCAGTTCTCTTTGGATCCTGTTGGAACACCAGACTGTGTCCGAGTTTTAAACTTCTTGCTCCGTTTGATATAAAATTGAATTAGGAGATAGACCTCCCCGCTTTGTGAAATTCACCAGTACCACTGCATGATGCTCCCACCACCGTGCTCGACAGGTGATGGTGTTTTTAGATGGCTCCGCTCATGTGTAACCAGGGTGAGCTAACCTGGGACAAACTAACAAAAACAGCTGTACTGGTGGAGGTAGTGAAGCTCACAGTGTTGCCTGGGGCTTTTATTTCTTATCGACCAACATTAAGGCAAAGAAGACAGAAAAATAATCCAAGCTACTAATATTTTAAAATAGTTGCTGCAGTGGATGTGTTCATGCTGCAGAGCCACAGGACAAGAACTCAGTGAAATCCAGTTTGTAAGAATATATTTTACATTACACTTTGTACAAAATCAGTTTAGTTTTAACAAAGACTAAACTTGTACAACCAGAAGTTACAACATGTATCTAGATATAAAACACAACTATCTTTAAGCATCAACCTTTAATTTAGCCATGAAGCATGCAACGTCATTATTATGACAGAAAATGGAGGATTTACCTGCAGTTACCTTCATACACATGAACATGTGGTACTTCCTGTTTATAACTGGTGTACTGAGCTGACCAAGGTGCAGGACTTCAAGGACTGGGGGTCCACTGTCCAGGAACATGGGGGGTGTGGTAAAGAGGCGAAGAAGAGAGTCCAGGCCGGATGGAGTGATGGAGAAAAGTCTCAGGAGTGATTTGAGACAAAAAGGATGTCAACAAAGATCAAAGGAAAGTTTACAAGACAGTGGTGAGACCAGCTCTGTTGTATGGTCTGGAGACAGAGACATGGACAAAAAGACAGGAGACAGAGACATGGACAAAAAGACAGGAGACATGGACAAAAAGACAGGAGACAGAGACATGGACAAAAAGACA